ATATCATCATCACCACCAATAACAACATCATCTTCATCATCAGTAACAATATCATCATCACCACAAATAACGCCATCATCATCATCATCAGTAACAATATCATCATCATCATCACCACAAATAACGCCATCATCATCATCAGTAACAATATCATCATCACCACAAATAACGCCATCATCATCATCAGTAACAATATCATCATCATCACCACCAATAACAACATCATCATCATCAGCAGCAGCAACGACGACATCGTCACCAACATCAGCTTCGTTACCACCACCGAAATCAATGTCAGAAATGACTTCATCATCATCACCATACACATCATCATCATCATCATCGGTCATATCGTACGCCGATAAACAGCTGCAGACGCAGATTCCATATGATGACGACGATGATGATGACGATGATTTTTCAAACGATGATAATGATAATGATAACAGCAACAACAACAACAACAACAACAATAATAATAATAATAATAAGAAGAAGAAGAATAAAAAGGATGATGGTACATTTGTTAATGGAGAATGGTATCTTGATGTTGATAATGATAATGATAATAATAATAGTAATGATAATAACGATGATGATAATTCATTCGACTATGATGATTTGTTTCTCAATAATAATAATAATAATAATAATAATTCATTTGATTATGATGATTTGATTCTCAATGATAATAATAATAATAATAATAATAATAATAATAATAATGATAATAATAATAATAATGATAATGATAATAATAATAATAATGATAATGATGATGATGGTAATGATACATTTGATTATGATGATTTGATTCTCAATGATGATAATAATAATAATAATGATGATAATGATGATGGTAATGATACATTTGATTGTGGGGATTTCTACCTTGTGGAGGAGTGCGTATTTTACAATTCAGAATGTAGCACCGGCAGTATCGACGATTGTAACACAGCTGCGGCGGCTGTGGCTACTACTGCGCCTACTACTGCCTCTGTGGTCGTCGCTGCTACTGCTTCTGTAGTGGCTGCTGTTGCTACTACCGCTACTACTGCTATTAATACTAATGATGATGATGATAATAATGCTTTGAATCGTGAACCTAGTGTTATTTCCGTATCATTCTCTGATGACGATACCGTTATAGACGCTACAATCACTACTACTGCTACTACTACCGCTTTTGCTGCTTCTACTGCTGCTACTACTACTACTACTACTGCTGCTGCTGCTGCTTCTATTACTACTACTACTACTACTACTACTACTACTACTAGTAATTCGATTATTAATAATAATAATAACAATAATAATAATGATAATAGTGATGTTGTGGTTGTTGTTGTTGATGATGATAGTGATGATGTAGATAGCGATGATAAGTTCATCAATGATAATATTAATGATGAAAATAATAGTAGCGATAATATTACTACCATAAGTAGTATTGTAGTTAGCGGTGGCCACGCTGCTGCTGCTGGTGGTTGTAGTAGTAGTTGTGGCGTTAGTAGTAGTAGTGGTAGTTGTGGCGTTATTAGTAGTAGTGGTAGTAGTAGTAGTGGTGGTGGTGGTAGTAGTAGTGGTAGTAGTAGTGGTAGTTGTAGTGGTAGTAGTAGTAATAGTGGTGGTAGTAGTAGTAGTGACAGAGGTATTCATACAAAATGTAAATTTGCTAGTATTAGTAATGAGAGTAAGCATGCAATTAGCGTCAGCAGTATTGTGTACGATGTCGATGATGATGAGGAGGAGGATGATGAGGAGGATTGCGTTATTACTACTACTACTGCTACTACTGCTGCTGCTGCTAATACTGCTGCTGCTGCTACTACTACTGCTACTACTACTACTACTACTAATAATTTGATAAAAACAAGATGCAAATATAATGATAATGACGATAATAATAATAATAACGACGATGATGATGATGATAGAAGCAGTCAATATTATACGCCTATGAAATGCTTTCCAATTCATGACAACAACAACAACGACAACAATAATAACAACAACAACAGTAATAATAACAATAGTGGTAATAATAAGAATGATGATAATTTTATTAGCAGTAGACTGGTCAGTAATCTATTCACCGGGACGAATAGTGCCTATGATACTGATCTTAATCGTCGTGATCGTTATCATAACCGACAGCATGAACGTCATCATCATCATAATCATCGTCGTCGTCGTCGTCATATTGATAATACTGGACCTGATGGTGGGGACGATAATGGTGGTAATGAAGATGACGTAAAAATCTACATTGACAAATATGAATGTTCATCATTATCATCACCGCCGCTCGCTTCGTTATCATCATCATCATCATTATTACCCCCGTCATCATTACCTTCATCATCGTTATTATCATCATTATCACAATTACCTTTAAAATCATCGTCGTTATCACCAATGTTGAATGTGCCTTATTTGAGCCAGGAATCTTTTTATACATGTATTGGACCGTCACAGGTATGTTTGTATGTATGTTTGTTCGTTTGTATGTTTGTTTGTATGTATGTTTGTTTGTATGTATATGTGTGTGTATGTTTGTTTGTATCTATGTATGTTTGTATGTTTGTTTGTGTGACTTCGACTTATATGCGTGGGGTATGTATATGTGTGTATGTCTGTAAGTTGTATGGATGTGTGTACGTTTGTATGTATGTGTGTGTGTGTGTGTGTGTGTTTCTTTTTGTATGTATGTTTTTAATGTATTCGTATCTAAAAGGGACCAAGCCAAACAGCGGAGATAAAGATTCAAAAAGATGATAAAGAAGCTTACGAAGATGCTTGCATAATTAAAGAAGTCGGGCTTATTATAGATGGTTTGTTGTTTTTGTCCTTTCATTTGTTCAATCATTCATTCATTCATTCATTTGTTCATTAATTCATTCATTCATTAGCTAATTCGTAATTCATTCATCCATTTGTCGCTTAACCTTTCATTCAAACATTTCAGTGATTTTTTTCTTCATTATCACTCGATAAGAACACACCATGGACATAAAACAATCGAAGCAAACACTCCATAGATAATATAACAAATTCAAAACACCATAGATATAAATAACAAAGAAGGGAATTATTGCTCGTCACATACTTCCGGTTCGGGTTCAACTTCCTACATTTCGGACTCAGAAACATCTGGAAGATCTTCACCTTTTATTCAAACGGTTATTAAACTATATATATATATATATATATATATATATATATATATATATAATTTTTGGTAATCATTTTATTATACCATTTGTAAATAATAAATAAATAAGTAAATAATAATAATAAATAAATAAAAATTAAAATATATTTTAATTATTTTTTGTCTCAACCATCAAATTGATCAAATCAGCCATCAAGCCACCAAATCAGCCATTGTGATAAAACAAAGTCTACATGTGTTTGTTTTCGGGATTTTGTCTAAGATATATTTCCATCTCTTTGTTTTCACACAACAAGTATATTTTTATTTCTTTGTTTTTTTTCGTCCATAGAAATGCAATAAGTTACCTGATATCGCCAAGTACCATTTGGGTAACAGGGTTCCAAAACTCAGATTGAGCCGGGTATGACCACAATTAACTATAGATTATTATTTTTATGAATAACAATAATTATTATAATTATTATAGCAATAATAATATTATTAATAAAAATAAATTTTAATTTTTTACAGCGTATTTATTCATTTAATGAAGATGGTTACACCTACACCATATACGACTGATTAGAATTTTATTAATGACGTACTGATGAAGTCATCCTTGTTTAAAGTTACAAAATGACACCAATGTTATCACTTGTAATTATGACGATAATGATAATAACAATTTTAAATAATTATAATATATTTTTTCATTATTATTTATATTTTTAAATTTATTGACGGCAAAAAAAATGCCTTTATTTGGTATACAATGGTTGTATCAATGACAATAAAAGTGTTGATTGTGCACATTGTGTTTATTGTTTTGCTCATTAACATATTTGTATACGTTTTGACATATATACGTACATACATACATACATACATACATACATACATACATACATACATACATACATACATACATACATACATCTTGGCGCTTTTAAACATGAGTGGAGTGTTCGATTGCGCCGATCATGGTATTTTGCTGGACCGTTTGGAGAAGCAATTTGGTATATCGGGAACAGGAAAATTCTGGTTTCAGTCTTACTTGACGGATCGAACGCAACAAAATCTGTTTAGTAACAATTTGTCAGATACGCCACACGGCTCGGTGTTAAGACCCTTATTATTTGTTTTATACACGGCAGATGTTCTTGGAGAATGAAGATTGGGATTGATCAGTTCTGTTTTGTTGCCCTCTATAGACCTGGTTTTGAACAGATGACTCCAGTATTCTTTGTTGTAGAGTTGATTTCTAAGTTGTACTTATGAGTAATTTTAACATTCAAGTTGAGAAGAGATATAGTCCTATTACTCTACGACTACATGAACTACTTGATACGTTCCAACTGGTGAATCATGTTAATCAACAAACGCATGTGTCTGGCGGTACAGTGTCAGATCTAGTGATTTGTTCACACGATTTTCCAGTTCTCGATACGAAGATTGATCCCTGTTCAGTGTACTCAGATTACAGTTATATAAGTGAGAGAGGGACGTTGACACAAGGGAGAGAGAGAGAGAGAAAAAAAGAGGTTTTTCTTTGACTTTACGCAATCACTTATTAACTTGGATGTATATTTAATTACGACATAAAATTTTTGCTTTCTTTATTTTAATGATTGTTAACGAACGAACAGTTTTCCTATTTTAAACATTATTTTCTAGTAAATTGCTTTACAATACTGCTCCAAAAGAACACACACACGTAAGCCACACACACACACACACACACACACACACACACACACACACACACACGTAAGCAAAATCCATTAAAATATTATCATTATAAGTGAAGGAGTGTTTGCTTGCAAAACATAATTTTATTTTTATTAATATTAAGCCAATTTTTTTAAAATAATTAAATTAATTAACACTGGTTGATTGAATAATATGTAATTATTTAATTATTAAATAAATGAATAAAACACTAACAAATAAGTATATAAATATAAAATAACTACATTAAATAAAAACGGTAATTATCATAATTTATTGATAATTAATATAATTTTTATTATAGGATAATTTGTAATAATATGGATGCCGAAATCGTTCAAATCGAGGATAGGATATCTGACTGCATGCAAATGTTCATGGTTAATATTATTATAATTATTATTAATTATTATTTAATTATAATCACAACCATAATACTGAATAATTAAAATTTATATTTTCATCCTCATTACAATTATTTATGATTTTTTATTTTCAATAAAATCTAATATTCGCCCTATCAATAACACAACAATAATATTAAAAATATTATTATTAATATTATTAATATTAATAATCATAATAATAAATATTTCATAGGACACTTTAGATAAAATTATAAAAGGACGACAAATAGCATCAGCGATAAAAATCAATGATCAAAAAAACCGTAATAAACTCGATATTCAATCGAGCGGTCGAATCCGGCAAAGACGACGAGCGAATCACCGACGAATCGGCAAATATCTGACCACTATACCGACTTGCTGCTTGCGGAGTATAATGAATAGTGAAGCAACTTTGCTGACTGACCAACAAGGGCGGCGATTTCGACCATTCCGACAAATGGAAGGCATCTATGATGTAGCGAGTACGATAGAAAAACAGCAACAAAACAGAAAAAGACGAAACCGAAAGAAATTGAACACCGAATCTAAGCCATTCTTTCCAATCCGACAACGACTACCGAAGTACCGTCGAGTCGGCGAATACCCAAGTCGGATACCGTATTTTCTTAGGCAGAGCTCTACAAAACACGAATTTTCCCTGTTTGAGTTTACCGAGAAGCATATAGAAGAGCAACTGCAACAACAGCTGGCACAATTTCGCAAACATCATCGACAGCAGCAAAACTTAAGTTTTGAAAAGCACCAAATGAGGGAATTAGAAGAGAAATCTCTACAGAAACAGCTGAACAACAACACAAAAGAACACAAGCTGCTGGTACAACAATTGCTACATTGTCAGAAACATCAGAACCGTTTGGATAGAGAAATAGACAAATTGAAAGAGCGCGAGAGAGAGCTGGGTGATGTGATTGAGAGTTTGAAACAAATAACAGGAGAAGATGGAGACGGGGCAGATGATGAAGCTGACACTGATGATGAATATGATGAATACCGCGATCCAAATGTAAGCCCAAAACAACTGCAACAAAAGTCTTCGTCAAAAATAAAAGATGACAATTCTGACGATCATTATTATGTTGATGAAGAAGATGATGATGATACTTATTACGGAAGTTATGATGGTTATGATAATTCTGATGACGACTATGATGAAAAACAACAACAACAACAAAAAACTCAATCGGAAGAAAAAAAAGATGATAAAGAAGACAACGATGACGACAATAGCGACAATGAATTACTACCGCCACATCATCAGTGGCTGTTGGGACAGCTGCTACGACTACAACAAAAACAAAGTCAGGCGCAAGTGAAAGGTTTAAAAAAATTCAAACGAATTAACAGAAAAATTGCAAAGATTTACCTACAACTCAAAATATTGATAAAAATTCTAGAAAAGTTGATAGAACTCCACAGAGAATACAACGAATACATGACGAGAAGCCTTTACCTCAACCAGCATCTGCAAGCGAATCGTCAGCAGTGGCAAGAACTACAAGAAGATATCAAACACGTGCGCGATGCGTACTTGAGAGTTCACCCGCATCGAATCCAAGATCGAGATAAATGTCTTAAAAAACAGCAGTACATCTTAGAAAAACGACATACTTTGCTATTGAAGTTTCATTTACAGCAAGACCACGGTCGTCTTCATCCTCAACAGCAGCAATCAAAACAACCACAACAGCAGCCACAGCAGCAACAACAACGACTCAACAACGATTTTTTTTACGTATTTTACGATTGTGGATACGTTGCGCACTTTATAAAGGGACAGTTAGCTAGAAGAAGGAGAAAAAGCAGATCTCTTGACATCTTAATCGTCAGTAATAATAATAATAATAATTATTATTATTATTAATAATTATTATTATTATTATTATTATTAATCCACTCCGTTTAAAATGTACTCACCTGCAGTGACGAGTATTTTAGATTTATAGGATTTTATAATTATTTCATTATTGATATTTGGTATTTGGAGTTAGAAAATAAAAGGATGTTCCTATTATTATTATTATTATTGTTGTTGTTATTGATTATGATACTATTATTATTATTATTATTATTATTTATGATTTTCTTATAATTACAAATATTATTAATTAATTAATTTTATATTTACAGATCGGCGGCCCTGGAATTCCGATATCATGTAAAGTACACCTTTGTGGCGATATTGCAAAAGCGTTGAGAAACAAAAAGAATAAAAATAATAATAACAACAATAGCAACAACAACAACCACTATAGCAACAACAACAAACACAGCAACAACAACAACAACAACAATAATAATAATAATAATAACATAAACAATAATTCAGCTAGTGACAGTGAATGTAATATTATCGGTAGAAATAAAAATATTAACGGTTTTGAAAATGATTATTACATCGATACTGATCATACCGACACCGATACCGATTATTATTATTATTATGAAGAAGAAGAAGAAGAAGAAGAAGAAGAAGAAGAAGAAGAAGAAGAAAAAGGCGGAGGAGGAAATGATGATGATTACGAAAACAATAGCAATTATAAGTATAATGATGATGATGATGACAATAATATTTTTAATTTGGACCGCAAAAATAAATGCCTAATTTGCCTAAAACATTTCTTATTACACGAGGCCAAAACCACCATAATAAAATGCGGTCATTTGTTTCACCACGACTGCCTGCAAGAGCACCTAAAACAGGGATGTACCTGTCCAGTCTGTCGGTATTCCATTTACGAGCGAATACCGATTAAATACGAAATCGATAATCACTGTCTCGTCGAGTATTTTTGTTATAAATGTTACAGCAAGGATAATGATAAATTGGAGAACGTTGATGATGGAAAATGCTGCTGCTGCTGCGAATTTAAAACATTTGAAGTGGATATAAACGTTAGCGTAGATAAACCAAAATAATAATTCTCTCTCTCTCTCTCTCTCTCTCTCTCTCTCTTTCTCTTTCTCTATATTTTTATATAATTTATTTAATTTACATATTCATTACATATAAGTACATGTATAAATATATTTATATTTTAACAGTTTTTATATATAAAAAACGCTAGTCTTTCGATTCATATCATAATCCCATGTGATACTGCAATTCATCACCATCATCACTGTCAATCATAATCATCGTCATCATCATCACCATCGTCGTCATCACATTTTATGGTCTATCATCATCTATATGAATGAGGATACGTGATATGATGTCAAATTGTGATGTATGTATAATTATATACATATATATCATATATATATATATATATATATATATATATCACATGTCAATTTATAACAAAATGCATCCAAGCTTTTCTGTGATAAACTTTTTAAATACAACAATTTCAATTTAATGACACAATTTAAGAGTTTAAGTTGAATAAATTTGAGATTCATACCATAAAGATGAAATAAAATAAGGAATTTGTTGGTCATTAATCAAATTTCGATTGAATTGTTGTACCGAATATTGTCTAATCAGTCTGAAAAATGACAAGAATATGGCCAGCAAGAACTCAGGCTGAAGGGAATTATATATGTCAATATGATAAATTTATCGATTGGTGTTAATTATTCAGGGTTTCCATCATCAAATTATACATTTTCATGCCCAGTAGATTAAGTACAACATGAATATAGTAAAAACTACTAGCTTTAATCACTATATCAGCGCCACATTTCAAAAAATCGAACTATAGTTTATGTTCTATAACACATAATGATAACTATTCGGTCGATTCAAGTTACTATTTATTTCTCAAAAACGTCGGGATTTTCATTATCAAATTATACATTACTGCTAGCTTAATATACCACATCAACGCCACATTAAAAAAATAAGGTACTATATTACTTAGTTCAGCTTTCTTTTAGCTACCATTATATAACGATCGCTAGGTCTTCCCCTGTTTAAAAATAATGTAGCATTGCATCCGGAAATGAGCTGGCGCATGGCTTATATTTAGTCTTTCCTTTTTTAAACATGGACTCCTTAGGTGACGTACTCCTTCTATGAAATTTTGTCTTTTTTCCTTCATCAAATTTGTTATTTTTTATTTATTTGATATTTAAATTTGCAGGTTTTATTTTCACGATTGGTTTCGTGCTTATCTCAGTGAATGCATTGACGCCTTCGACGTACATAACTCCTGCCGACAAGGACCGGCTAAAATTAGTGTTTAATTCGGCTGAAACTCTACAAGATTTGTCCTTCGCTGCCAAAGGCTTGGGTGTTCTAAATGAAAAATTTACCGATTCAAAGGTTTGTAAACAAGATTTCTCATATGTCAATTTTTAGATGTCACAAACAGTTTAAATTTCATTTTTTAACATTTTGTGGACTGGGTCCATGTTTTTTATTGATTAACAATAACAGCCCAACGACTGTTCGTTGAGGTCCATGTTGAATTTTTCAAATATTTAAATTTTCATGATGTGATCAAAGTACTTAGCTAGGTTTTTCATTATTTTCATTCATTCATTCAGTGTCTATCTAACACTAATTGATTACTTGTTGTTTAGCACAGTTTTTTCAATTATGCTCAATCTCTAAGATCTAATGACCTAGCCACATAATTTTTTTATTTGATTTATCATATTTGGTTGCAAAAACTTACACTTTATTTAGTTTATTATATTATTTTAGAAAGTTTGTGAAGATGTGAAGAAAAATCTGAAAACAAACGACATATCTCTGATATATTATGCATCGGTTGTCACTAAAAAGTTAGCAGCTGACGGAATGCCTTGCCAGGTACAAAAATGCATTTTAAAATAAAAAAATTAGGACCTAAGCCTTTTTTACTTAGATTCTGTTATTATAACTTGAAAATTATAAATTAGATTGATAAATAAAAATATTTTTTTAAATAATTAAATTCAAGGTATCTTGGAGTGAAGCTGAAAGTCTGTTGTCTTCTGCCGTCAAATCTGGGGCCACGACCCATACAATGTTCCATTCTGTAACAGCTTTAAACAATCTTGGAAAACCTGGTTAGGAATTTTGTTTTTTGAAATCTGTTGAAACTTACAATTATTCATAATTATCCTTCATCATTGGGAAGGGTTATGATGTAGATCTAGTTGGATTTTCAGTTTCTGATAGCTTGAAACTTACAATAATTCAGATTTTGTATAAAGTTTTAAAATTATAGTCTGAGAATATTTGTTTATTTTTAAGAAATATTTCCCTTTCTTTGCAGTACCCAAAGATGTTTTAAACCTTCTAACTGAAGCCCTAAAGACTGAGGATTCACCATTTGCGTAAATAATATAATTTTTGTTTATGTAATTTTTATGTTATGTAATTATATATTTTTTAATTATAATAAAAAAATTATTATTTGTTTCCTGGCACTGAATTATAGTTATGCAAATGTATTCTACACTGCCTCATTGCTGACTGGCGATTTGAAAAAAGTTCACGATTTGATCGAGGACATCGTTGCACAGGCCGACGAGATCAATGAGGAATATTTACAGGTATTTTATATAATTTTTACTTTGCATCGAAAAGTTTTTTCCTGTACTCAAGACACTATTTTGTATTGTAACATGCATTCTGTATTCAAGAATACTGTTGTTTACGTATTTATTCACAAAGGTGTTATGTTCTGACTTTGTATTGTAATCTGTGCTGTATTTAAAAGTGGTGTTTTTGTCTTGTATTCAGTTAAGGAGTATTTTATTTTGTATTGTTTTGTATTGTATTCTATGTGTATATTTCATATTGTAGGAATGCTTTGCTTTTCATTAATAAACATTCAGTTAATATTGGCCATGATGATGAAAAACTTAATAACAGTCTGTCAATCCTATGATAAAAGTCATTTAAAATGATTATAAGGTTTATCTGAGCCAAGTTTATGTGAATGAAAGTTTTACTGTATTTTTGTTGCTCTGCTACTTAATTTAGTTATTACTGCTGCTACTGATTACTAACTATTCATTTTTCCTTGTTACTTTCTATGAGTATTGTTACTGCTGCAGATGTATTGCTGTTCCTATACTAATTTTATTTTATGTGATTTAGGAGCTTTTTTTAAAATGTGTATACTACATTGGCTATGCCCTGATGATGAAACACATTCATAACAATCTGTCAATCCTATGATAAGAATCATCTGGCTGATTATAATGGTTATCTGAGCTAGCCAATGTGTCTATCCTTAAATTGATGTGTGAAAATAAAAGTTTAGTTGTTGTTGGCTTGTCTTGTTAAGTAACCACTGCTACTCCTTAATATTTTTTTTACTAAATTTTTTTCATTTCATGTATTATTCAATTTGTATGCACATGGGTTTATTTAGCATTGGCTATGATGATGAAACAGTTAATAAACAGTCTGTCAATCCTATGATAAAAAGTCATATAGGTGATTATGAAGTTCATCTGAGCCTGTGTTTTTAAAGTGTTAATTTCGTTTTGTTAGTGTGTATCTCGAATATCTTCAGCTTGATACTTCAAATACTATTGTGTATGTAATCTTTCTAGTATATACTACTATATATATGTATATGTGTATATATATATATATATATATATATATATATATATATATATATATATATATGCTATATACTACTAAATCCATCAGTTGATACTGCTCTTACTATTTGCTACATGCTATTTCTTGCCTTACTAATGTACGTATGTTAAATTATTACTACTGTGGTGTCGTCATCATCACCAATGCGGAAACTTCATCGTCATTATAGTTGTTGTCATCATTTCATAGTTTGAGAGTGGACTGAGGCCGACGGCGTCTGTCATCTACTCATCGCATCTACTGTCAGTCGTCGCTAACTTGAAGCCTGCCATAGCCGATGTTAGTTCTGCATCTCTGACTGACGTGAATGTTTTCAGTGTTGCTGGTTCATCTAATAATTTGTTTGGCTTGGTTGATTGATTGATTGACTGGTTGATTGATTGACTGGTGGATTGATTGACTGGCTGGTTGATTGATTGATTGATTCATTAGTTAATTTTTAATTCTTTCTTGCCAGGATAAAATAATAAAATTTGCCAACTACCTACTGGCACGAAAGCACACCACGTCGATAATTGATGCATCACTTGTCATCTGTGCTGTTCACTCTATTGCCACTAGTAAGGTAAGTAAGAGAGAGAGAGAGGAGAGAGAGAGAGAGAGAGAGAGAGGATAATGAAGGGGGGGGGAGAATTATGGTAATGATGAAAAAAATGATGAAGTTGATAATTATGATGATGGAGATTTTTTTTAGATTAGTTTCTTAATTTAGTATTTGCTGTCATTCTTTTCAGTTCTATACACCGATTGCTGTTGCATTGACTAGCTCGGTTTCGGTGTCTGACAAGAGTCCTGTGATTTCTGTAAGTGATGGTGACTGGATGAATGAATGAATGTTTGATTGATTGATTGAATGATTGATAATAATAATTCATCCACCGCCACAGATAACAGAGTGAATTGGTGAATTGATAAACGAATGATTTGAGTTTTATGATGGTCTTGAGTGAATGAATGAATGATGGAATGGTTGAAAATAAACCATTCATCTGCCCCAGATAAAAGAATGAAGTGAATGAGAGATTGACTGACGGTAATTAACTTTCTTTTTTATCTTTCCATCCATCTCTCCGTCATCCAGGTAAAGGTCGTTGACCTGTTAGGAGGTGCCGTAGAGAAGTTGACGGTAGTTGCGGAAACAGCTCGCCACATCACTGACAATGCTGTCATCCTTAGTAAGAAAACACTTACTCCATCCAAAACTGATGTGTAAGTTTATCTCTCTCTCTCTTTCTCTCTCTCTTTCTCTCTCTCTTTCTATCTATCTATCTCTCCTCAGTAATCACATCATTTCTGATTCTCTTGCTCTTTTTTGTATTTTTCTCTTTTACATCCTCATTCTTTTTCTTCATTCTGTTATTCAGGACCCAGCATGAATTGGATTTGTACCAGTTGAAACCCGCAATTGGTTTTTATAGGATTGTTCTCTCAGCTACTTCAGCCAGGGAAGATGTCAAACTTTTAGGAAATCAAGATGCTGAGGTGTGTGTGTCTGTATGCCTGTGTCTGTCTGTGTATGTATGTTTTTTTGTATGTGGGGTGTATGTTATTTGCTTATTTTTGTATGGTTGCATTTCTATACGTGCATGTTTTATGTGCTTTACTTGTAAAAGTTTTATAATAAAAACTGGCATATTGTAAGGATGATACATAATATATATCTGTCAATCCAATGATGGCCACTTTGTTTATGGGCCTAAGATGATATATATCCTATCTATATCTGAACAGCCAGTGCATGCATTGATTTGTATTGATTTAGTGATTTGTATTGAGCTGCTATATGCTGCCGTTTTATAATTAATGAGTTGACGATAACTGAGGTGTGATGATTCCCATTTATGATGAAAGTAATATTCCAGTGATTGTGTTGGCGATGATAATGTTTGAGATTAATATTTATTTATGCAACTAGGTCAAGGTCAAGGTTATAACAAGGATGGCCATTAAGAATGTTGAGGTCTTGATTCAGGATAGAGAGCAGGGGACGGTTTTGAAGTCCCACAAGTTAGTCGTTGTCCATTATGTCGTTAATATTAATATTCCCATTACTGTTGTTCAGTTGCATATTATTTTACAGTAGGTTTTCTATGTGCTTGCTTTTTTGGTGTTTAAAAATAATAATATGAAGATTTGCTGTTTATTGAGCTGATAATTATCACCACTATTGTAATTATATAAATTTAATAATGCTAAACAGAGTCGAGCAGCCGAATAAAGTGACACTGGAGGCGGATTACCATCAGAAGTTTGTCGTCAAGTTCAGTATTGTTGATTCTGCTACCGATAAGTTTCTTCATGCCCACCAAACATTTGTGAGGTTGGTTGGCTGGTTGGAAAGTTGTTTGATTAAAATGCTAGCCAGTTAAATTGTCGGGTGATTAGGGTGCTTGATTAAATTGTTGGTTGGTTGGTTGTTTAATTGGAAAGTTGCTTGATTGATTGATATATATAAATGATAGATTGCTGAACCAGAAGACCAACCATGAAGTCATCTATGTGGCAGAAGAGGATGGCCAGGAGACATATAAATTTGATCTGGTTTGTATCATTTTGTATTGTATTTCATTTTGTATTGTACAGTTTTGTATTTGATGTTTGGTATTTTCATTATGTTGTATTGGGTGTTTGGTTTTGTTTTTGTATTGTATTCTATTTTGTATTTGATCTTACTTGAACTTTACACTTTGTTTGGTATTGCTTTACATCGTAATATGCGTCTATAAATTTTGATACCATGTTATTTGTGATATTTCGTAGAATAATTTTTTGTCATAGTCTGACATGATGACTAGAAGAAGAAACGATATCATTACTTTAATGATGATGACAAACTCCTAACTTACTGATCAGACTAGTATTATTAGTACCGCTAGTAGCAGTAGTAGTTTTCTGCTACTGCTACTATGTACATACTTGCGTGTGTATTGTGTACCTTACATTGTGTATTGTGTATCAAGTCATTCTTCTGCAATGGAATGAGGATTATGATGGGAGTGCCACGGTTATCTGTGGTGATAATGATGTTATGTTACTTGTGAATGATGTGATGATGATGATGATAAAAGTTGTTATGGTTATTGTTGTCAGAATATTGGATTGAAAGGAAAGGACTTCAACGGTTTGTCAGGAAGATATCTGGTTGATTTGATTGTTGGTGATGCTATCATTGAGAATCCTCTGTCCTGGACTTTGGTATGTGTGTCTGTGTGTGTGTGTGTGTGTGTGTTTGTGTCGGTCTGTTTGTTTGCACACGTATTTGTGTTAGTGTATGTATATATGTGTTTGTATGTCTGTTTGACTGAATAGCTTTTTGTGAGGTTTCTTTAGAGATGTTTTTGTTAGATTGCTAATGAACATGATGAGTTTGTGCTTAACTTTTGTCTACTCTATACTATTTTGTGTTTGGTAGGATGGTTTGTTGGCTGGCTGGCTGATTTATTTATTGTTTGTGTGGTTAGTTAGTTGATTGGTTTGTTGATTGACAGGCCGATGTTAAACTGACATTCAGTGATGATGCTACACCACCAGCTTCTGATCCATACCTCTATTCCGCCAAGCCTGAAATCAAGGTACTCTCTCAGTTTTTCTCATTTTATTTTTCAGTGTTGTCGTTGTTATCTCTCCATCGGGGTCATTATTCTCATTATCATTATCACATTTTTCCGTCATCTCTTTAATCATCTCTGTCCATCCCCATTGAAGTTGCTGTGATCACTTTTATCTATCACATATTTATTCACCACTGGCTTCATCTTTTTGATCGTCTTTGTCATCTTTCACCCATCTTCATCATCTGTTTTCACTCACCATCATCGACTCCTCATCAGCATATGTTCAGAGAGCCTGAGAAACGACCACCAAGTACGGTGTCAGCATTTTTCACCGGACTTGTGCTTCTGCCTGTACTCATTTTACTCGTTTTGGTTTGTTTGTTTTTGTTTGGTATTTGAGTTTTTTTGTTTGTATCTAGTTTTGTATTTTATTTTTGATCTGTTTGTCTGTTTTGATTTGTTTGTATCTAGTTTTGTATTTTATTTTTGATCTGTTTGTCCTTGTTTTGATCTGTTTGTACGTGTAGTTTATATTTATTTGTTAGTTTTTTGTTATTTCAATCGATTAGTCAGTGCTTCCAATTTATAGCATAACAGCACATGTATGTGTATATACCATGTATATATATACATACATTTATGTGTGCACATGTGTAAATGTTTTACATTTGTTATGTTATGCAAGAAAGTTATGTGTTGATTGCATAGAGGCATCTTCCACCCAAGCCTAATTTAAATATTCATGTTTAGGAGATTGGTCTAAGGGATGCCTACATTCCATTTTACCTAATATGTGCTTTGTGTGCGTGTGTGCGTGTGTGTGGTTTTTGTTCTGGAAAATAATCATTCCTTTTTGTTTCATCTTATTCTCATTTTCGTTTTTTTTATAAATTAATTTTTTACAAAAGCGTTGCAAGTTTAGCACTGCATGTATCAATTAGTTAGTATATACATGTTTTAGTGTGTATACTAATATTATATATATATATATACATACATTTGTATATGTTTGTATTAGATATGTGGTGCAAGATTGTATGTATGTGCTGTACATAGGCATCTTCCACCCAAGCCTGATTTATTCCATTTAGGAGATTGGTCTAAGGGATGCCTACATTTCTTCTCTCTATTTTTCTTTATCTCTTTCTCTCTTCATCTCTCTTCATCTCTCTCCATCTACTTCTCTCTTTCTCTCTCGCTTAATGTTTTGTTTGAACTCAATTAATCCATTTGATTTATTTCTTTGTTTCATTCTGTTTAATTATAATTTTATTACTATATTTTGTTGTTATTCATTGTTAGTGTTATTAATATAATTAATAATAATATTTTAATTATAAATAATAATTTTAAAAACAGTGGATTATGATCGGAGTTAATGTGTCCAACTTTCCCCTGTCGCTGTTTGCGCTTATGTTTCACATTGGCATTGGAGGTGGGTCTGTTTGTACGCGCGCGTCTGTGTGTGTATCTGTATATGTGTAAATTGTGTGTGTGTATGTGTGGTAGGATGTCTATGTACGTTTGGGTATGTGCATATGATTCTTTGTATGTTTTTAAGTATTCATATGTTTGTCTGCATTTTGTACATTTTTGCTTAATCAAGTAATGTTGTATGTATAACAACAACATAACACAACAGCTATCTTTGTTCTGTATGGATTGTACTTCTTGCGATTGAACATGTTTGAAACACTCAAGTACTTGAGTATCATTGGCCTTCCTACATTCATCTGTGGACATAGAACACTGAGCTCCATTGCTGCAAGAAGGTTGTGGTAGTCTTTGTGTGTGTGTGTGTGTTTAGTTTTGTGTGTGTGTGTGTGTGTGTGTGTGTGTGGTCTTATTAGAAGTTGTTTTTACATTTACTTATTAATTAGTGTTTATTTAATATTAATTAATTAATACCGTAATAATTATATTAATTACATTTTTTTAATTTCAGAAAATAATATACCGTTCGTTCAGTTGCACACACACTCTACTCTCTCACAAATGTCCATACTACGTGTTTATTATTCGAAGAACAACTTATAATAGACAAGAAACTGTTGAGGACAATGTTTTGTTTTTTTTATTTTGATTGATTAATTGATTGACTGATTGATTGAATAACTGATTGAATAACTGATTGAATAATTCATTGAATAATTCATTGATTGATTAGTTAATTGGTTGCCATTCATTGTTGAAATATTTTGAATTGTATAATTAAATGTATGACAGGCAATTATTGTTATTGTTGTTATTATTATTATTTCTGTTGTTGTTATTATTATTATTATTCTTTTTATCATTCCCTCGTGTGTTTTATCAGTTATACATATTTATTGAACGAATTAAATGAAATTTTTTTTTAATTTGTTATTATTTAACAACAATAATAGTAAATATTGTTGTTGTCGTTATGGTTATGAACATTTTTATTATTATTATTGTTATGAATTTATTAGTTGATGTGTTTATGTGTGTGTTTGTTTGCCTGTACAGGTAAATGGAATAATCTTTCTACTACGTTATTATAATATATGTGTGTTGTTGGTTTGGAAAAAATATTTGAAAAAACTTGAGTATGCTCTAGCTGTTATTTCTATTGTTAATTATCAGTTTTACTATTACTATTATTATTGCTATTATTACAACAACAACAACACACGTTTAGACGGCATTTTCCCCGAGATCGGGGGTTGCCGTTTGGCTACCTATGATGAAACCGAAATACCCCTCGACTCTATCCACATCTGTCACTCGCCTCAGTATCACGCAACCCCGCTTTCACCCTGTCCTTCTCCACCTGCTCTCTCCATCCCAATCGCGGACGACCCCTTCCTACCACTCCTTCAACCTCGAACTCCAACGCTCGCCTAATCCCGACCCTTTCATCCCTTCTCAACACATGTCCATACCACCGCAATCTCGATCTCCTTATCAATGTCACAATGTCCTCATTCAGTCCCATCATTGACATCAGCTCTGTACTACTCCTCCTATCCTTCACTTTAACCCCACACATCATCCTCACCATAGCTCTTTCAGCCCTCTGCAGTACACTTTCCTCCTCTCTCCTCAACACCCAAGTTTCACCACCATATATCATCGCTGCTCTCACACATGCTTTATATACCCTCCCTTTCATCTTCACTGACCATTTCTTTCCACACAATACCCCACCCAGTTCCCTAAATTTCATCCATCCCACACGAACTCTAGCCGTAACTGCGCTCAAACATCCTCCATCCGCAT